CAGGACTTTAAATAAGATTTACATGTATCACTGTTAAAACCAGGCAAAATTGGTGCTTCTTTCCTAGCTTCTCCTGTGATCATGCAGCACAAGTTATACTTTCTGGAGCCAGCACGATATCTGGCATCAAAAAGCCCTCAAGATTCAAATCCTTGCTTTACTGTTCACTCTGATTTTCAGCAAATTAATCCTTCTGGGCTTGTCTTCTTATCTGTGAAAGGGATGGCTAACCTCACTACGAGTGGTGTTGGGCTCTATGTACGTCTATGTGGGGGTGTGCATGTACAGAGCTGGGCACATGTTAGTAGCCAAAGAAAGGTCAGGATCTCAAGAAAGGTGGGGTGCTTCAGAAGCCATGTGAATGGATGAGAGGGAAAAACTGGGGTGGCCAAATCAGTAAGAACAGTCTGTTCAGATAAAAAGGACAGAGAGTGGGGTGGAGAGTCACTGCTAATGGGAACAGTGCTGCTTTCTGGGGTGATGAAAATGTTTTTTTTTTTTAATTTTTTTTAACGTTTATTTATTTTTGAGACAGAGAGAGACAGAGCATGAACAGGGGAGGAGCAGAGAGAGAGGAAGACACAGAATCTGAAACAGGCTCCAGGCTCTGAGCTGTCAGCATAGAGCCCGACGCAGGGCTCGAACTCACGGACCGTGAGATCATGACCTGAGCCGAAGTCAGACGCTTAACCGACCAAGCCACCCAGGCGCCCCGTGAAAATGTTTTGAAGTTAGTGGTGCTGGTCGTACAACTAACATACTAAAACCCATCAGTACACCCTAAAAGGGTGGATTTTATGGTATGTGAATTTTATCTCAATTATACCATTACTTAAAAAAAAAAAAGATGAAGAAAACATGAATAAAAACACGTGGAGAGGTAATGGAAGATGAGGGATTTTCAAATTCTGGTGGGGTAGAGAATCAAGTTCTGGTCTCCAGGATAAAAAACCATTATTTAGGGAGGGTAAGAACCTGTTTATCTTGCTAAATTCTACAATTTTACACTCCCAATCATACCTTCTGAAGTTTTATTTTGGTAAGAGGTTCTCCTGCATCCCTTGGGCTAAATTATCAGTGGAATAGTCATATGATGTTTCTGAACAACAGGTGATAGGCAGCTTCTCAGCACTTCTTCACCCGGGGTTTTAGGACATGATGAGAAATACTTATCGACAGCAAAGATTCCATAATCACTACCGCAAACTGCCTCGATGGTGCGGCTTCAATACAAACAACCACAGGCACAACCATTTAGATTTCTAATTTATTATTAAATTACATAACAAAGCTTCTTCTATACAGTCAGAAAATGCATTTAGATGAGAACAAAAATTAAGTACAAATACAATAAATCTGGTTCCAAGAAGCCATTTTAAAAGCAAAAAAAAAATTAGAAAGTGCATTTGGAATAGATTTTTAAAAATCTGTATTGGCATTTCTCATGAGGAAACATTTTTTATCATGGCGAAGTGTGACTGGAATGGATGTCCCTCCCTCTCTAAGAGCTAACAGGATGTGGACAGATAAAAATACTCTGGTACTGAAGTGAGACACTAAGGACAGAGAAAATGAGAATGATCCCTCAAGACACGGCTCAGCTTTGTCTCAGTTTTTTATCCAATAAACATCCTTAAGAGTCACTTAGTCCTTCCTTATTTTCTTTCCCCATATACGCTTAAGAATATGCAGGTCTATAAAAAAAATAACAAGATTAGTTTAGAAAGACCATGATGAAAAGCTCTGTGTCTTTGTAGAGACCAGGCTAAATAACCTCTAACCCAAAAGGAGAATGGAACATAATCATTTTAATTTTCTGGGTAGAATCCATTTGTTCTCTAGTTATTACATTTGCCACCAACTTCGGCACTAATCCTAGACATGGCCATTTACCCTCAACGGCAAGTTAGAAAACTTGGTCAATTTCCAAAAATATCGTATCTGGCTAATGACCAAACATGAGGTATTAGAAGACCAAAAAGGTTAGTCCAGTTCTTTAAAGTCCTTTTCATCAGGTTGAGATTATTAACAGTGAAGAAAACATTAATGGTGGGAATGCAAGTCCAAGGTGCCTCAATTCCATAGAGGCCAAAAGTCATTATTACATGAAAAGGCTCAATAAGTACATTTTCCTATTCAGATGTACTCAGCATCCAGTAGGAAAGAACTAAAGTAAATATTTGGTTTCAGGTACAAAAAAGTGCCCGCGTGATGTTTCCTCTCTTCACTTGTCCAATTCTTAGGATTTTACTTCCACGCCTGATCTGAGTACTGGGTAGTAGGGAAAAAAAGAGGCATTCTCTGTACAAGTGAATTTTGGTACAAAGGAGAGAGGAATAGTGGAGAAGGAAAGCCCTTTTCTAACATTAGAAAAATAAAGGGTGAGCAATACAGGTTACAGGGAATCCTTCAGCATCACTGAAAACACTAAGAAGATTGTAGAGATAGCCAGGACAGGTCACCTGAAGCACTGGCATATCAGGGTTTGAACTTTAGTAATAAATTAAACATTTCTAACTAAAGTCATCAGCTCACATTAAGACAAAATCTCAGAAGTATACCTTTGGGAGGTCTGTCCTTTTTGTTGCTGTGGTTTTTCACACTTCTTAGTGAAATGGAAAGTTTTGAATTATTACTAAAATAATCCCAAAGGAAAAGGTCCCTTATATGACAATGGCCAAGGAAGAATAACTTCCCTTAAGAGGAAACTTCCTTCCTGAACTCCCAGCTCTGACAGGCAACTTACTGTTGGCCCCTGAGCCTGGCAACAGGTCTGTAAGGACAGAAGAAAAGGTGGAAAACCAATCTGGTTAAAAAAAAAACAAAAAAAAAGTTAAATGGCACCAAACTGAAAGAGTTCAAATCAGCTACCACAGGATCCAAATCCTCTTTTTGTAAATGACACACTTCTATTTCCTTACTCCAGGGTTTCTTTCTGCAAATGAAAGAACCGTAAGAGGAAAGGACAAGCCCTGTCCTGGCTAGCTACATTTGGCCCTGGGTCACCTCACTCTGGGCTATATAGCACTGGGAGGTTAGTCAGACCTACCAGACAACAACATCTTATACCAAGCCTTATCAACTTCCTTGGAAGAACTAGTTTATTTTCATAAAGAAAATAACCAACATAATTCTATTACTTCATTTAAGCACTACCCTAAAGGAAAGGCTCATCAGCCATCAAAAGTATTTGCTCAGTGCAGCAAGCAGCTCAGCCCCTAGTTTTACTCTCACACAATCAGCTTTAATGAATATGCCAAATAATCAGACCAGTAAAAAAGACTGGTAGTATAATTAAATAAATAACTTTATTTATGATACTTCAGATTTTATAAATGCCAACCATATAGCAATGAAAGTCCCATAAATTCTAGCTGAGGCACAACCACCAATCAAGGCCCTTTGAAAAATCAAAGATAATAAAGTGTCAGGGGAGTACAGTCTTGTTCTCCCAACAGAGAATTTAGTAAATGAACTTCTCTGATCCTTTAAGATTTACATTGGGAAAACTTAGACTTTCTTTTCAGGGCATCCCCAATCAAGTTATCTGATCAATCAACCCATATTTAGAAAAATAAACCCCATAGTTTAAAAAAATGTATCCAATGGCTTTCATACCCAGAACATAATAAAACTTTGACAACAGAATGAAAAAGCTCTCAGTTTCTGTACCAGACCAGGCGTTAGTATAGCCATCAGCTCTTGTATCAAGTTCACCTGAATGTCATCACCGATGCACTGTGATATTGTTAAGAACTACATGCTCATATCCTTTTATTCCCTGTGGCACAGTCTGAGGTCAATACTATAAATACCAGAGTCCATTCCAATGGTGAAGAGCAACCTTCTTTCTTGGTGAGGAGTGTAGATGTTGACGTCTTCAAACTATTTGTGGTAGTTCAGGTGAATAAGTTGTAAGTTTACAGAAATGGAGAAATGGTTAAACCTGAAAAGAATTCTGGTGGGTGGTTTAAAATTCTGTTACCGTCCAGGGATGGTAGTAGAAGACAGGTGCAGATACAGATAGATTCTGTCACATGCACCTTCAACAGTAAAACCATTCTCTGGATGTTTGGAAAGCTTAACAGATTTGGAACGAGTAGGTTTTCATAAAACACAGACTTCCTGGTACATTAGGCAGTATTTCTTGAACTTTTGCTCATAAATCATGGAGCATTTACAAATGGAATAATCTGGATGGTGACCCCTCAATCAATGTCTTTTTACATGTGGCTTGCTGAACAGATCTCACTGAAAATTGAGCAGTCCCCTCACTCAGGGTTAATCCTGACATGATGAGGAATAGTTGGGGGCACTGACAGACACTGGCTATTAGTTACTTTTACCATGGTAGAACTGAGATTGCATTTTCTCATAGTAGCAAGTATTAATCCAATGGAAGAAATAAACAAAACATCAAAACAATGACGGACAAAAAAGCCTGTTATTCTCAATGCTTTTCCAGCAATATAGTTAATCCCAGTGTGCATACAATTTAAAAAAAGAGGAAGAAAAAAGCTTTTCTTGCAGTGTTTGTCTTCTGTTTCAGACAACCTCAACTGTGTTGAAGTTGACCTGTTAGCATCTCAAAGAACCTGTGAAAAATGTAATTCTTCTGGAATACCAAAACAGGGGCACAGAGTAGAAATTTATAGCACAGCTTATCAAGAAATGACTTGTGATTTCTCTTCACGACTGTAAAATAAAAGGACAAGAACTATTTTTATTCACAACCCAATCTGGTGGCTGAAAGGAAAACAGTCTTTGGATATAGAGAAGCCTGGTTTTCTGGAGTCCAGCTGTAAGATCTGGCTTGTTATCAGCCTTCAACACTATTACTGAAGCATAGAAACTCTGTTTCTGATTGGTTTACTTACCTCCTGGGAAGACAAAAGCAACTGAAAACTTTTTTTTTTTTTTTAAACTAAAAACAGAAGGAAATATGTGTTAGAAAAGATAGCACAGGAAAACTGTGGCTTCAGCTCAACCTGACCGTATCACAGAGTCCATCACCATCAGTCTTGAATTAATCCTGTTGGTCAGGCTAATCATCAGGACAATCAACTTCTCCTTCCTATTTTTCCTTATTCCGGATCAGGGTGTGAAAGTGGTGGTTGTCAAGAGTCCCTGGAGATGTTCCTCAGTGGAAAGCATACAGCAGCAATAGGATGGTACAGACACCAATAACACCGCCCAGGATGAGGGAGTCTCGCCGTTTCCTAAGATTGATTCGTTGGATCAGGCTGTTCACAGCAGGAAAACGATCTTTGGGAAATCTTTATTAAGGTCATATTTGAAGAAGCCTCTTTAGTGAAAAGTCACAGGGGTCACAAAAATAGAGATCAGTGGAGTCCAGAAACAATAAATAATGAGAAGAGATACAGAGGAAGAAAATTACACTGAGGGAGTCTTTAAAAAAACACATACCCAAACTGGGAACATCCTACTGCTCAAGGTCCCAAACCAACCGAGGAATTACAACCAGGCTTGGGGTCAGGGGCGGGAGGTAGTGAGCTTAGGAACAGAGGGACTCTGCAGGGCAGGGAGGTGTAAGTACAGCCAATACCACTGCTAACAACACCCTATTCTGTTCTCTTTTCCTTTCTCTCTCTTTTTCTCTCTCTAAACCCCTTCTCTCAGGAAAGTGAGAAGTTCGGCCAGAAGAGTTCTGAAGTTCTTGATCCTCTCCTCACAGGGTGATAACCCCCTTGGAATCAGGCAATAGGTGGTGGCAACCAACTCTAGGGTCTGAATAAATCAGTCACTGGTGAATTATTTAAATTTTTTAGTTTACTTTGCAGCAGTAGGTAGGATATGGTAGGTAAGGGGGCTACACTGTTCTAGCTGTCCTACTTAGGAAACATAAAAAAAGATAGGAAATTTCCAATTTTAGAGGTTTAAAGAAGCAGTCACAGCTATATTTTACTTAGTATTTCAAAATATCTTCATACTCTTATTTGTATGTTATAGACCAAAGCACATGCCTGTGCATCCTAACTTGTTTTGCATTTTTTAAAGTTTATTTACTTTGAGAGAGAGCGAGAGAAAGGGGTGGGGGGGAGAGGCAAAGAGAGAATCTCAAGCAGGCTCTGCACCGGCAGTGTGAAGCCTGACATGCAGCTCGAACTCATGAACCATGAGATCATGACCTGAGCCGAAACCAAGAGTCAGACCAACTGAGCCACCCAGGTGCCCCTGTTTTGCATTTCTGACAATATACCTTCGGGTGCCTCCTCTTTGTTAATATAGGTATTTTATCAAAGTCAGGAAAATCACTGACAAAAACCACCTACAATACTAGAGAGCTAGAATAATACCTCCACTCTGTGAATCTTTATTGCATTTTCCTGTAATTAAACCACCCAGCAGGGACTATATTTATTTGTACACTTATATATTCTACATATTATATGATTAGGACCATGTTATCTTCTAATCTTGAATTTCCCTATCCAGAACAGAGCTTTACATATTGTAGGCATTAATGTGTTTTTTGAATTAATGAGAAAAATTTGCAGAAATAATTTTTAAAAATACTGAAGCAGCAGCAGCATGAAATAATAGGCAAAAACTTTTACAAGGTACAAATCTCATATAGAACAAATGCTTAATCTTCTCTTGCTTCGTAAAGAATCAACAATCCCCTTAGAATATTTTTGGCATTAGGGAATTCTGTCTATAATGGGCATATTACCTTTAGAGAAGTCCCCCTCTCTCTCCTTCTATAATAATCTAGATCAGTCCATGTAATAGTGTAGGCTGACCTTGTCCTCTGCCATCAGGTATATTTACAAACTCGGATTGGCCAGAAAGAATATTCCCTTCTAGTGACTCAAGCTGGGGCAACTACAGTCCTCTTGGGACTTTTATTACAGCTGGTAGAAAAGACCCCCTTTCCATGGGGATTTTTAACTGGCAGAAGGTGATTCTTCTAGCCATCTCTATCACTATGTGTAGAAAACCTCTTTGAGAATGAGGCCAATCACAGGAAAGCAAAGATAAGAGATGGAGTAGGTAGGGGGAAAAGAGAGAGGAAAAGCAGATTCTTGACAATAAAATCTGAGCTCCTGAATTGAGCCATGCCTTAGGTTAAATTCTACCCCTGAATTTTAGATAAATATGAACAAATTAATTCCCTCCTTTCCCCCCTTAAGCCAGTCTAAATGAGGTTTCTGTTACTATCTCTCTATGGAGTCTCGACTAACAGACGCATTTTGTTTTTGAACACATATTTTTCCAGAATTATTATAATTTGTGGTAATGGCAAGATGATACAATGTATATAACAGTACTCTGTAAACTGTACAGCCCTATGTAAAATATAAACAATTATGGATATGTTATTTTGCACTTAGGGTGACAAAACAGGAACAAAATTCACAAAAAGTTGGAAAATACAAAATACACTTCAGGATATTCCTTAGGGAAGTAAGTATCAAACTAAAAGTGACCTTAAATTATCTATGACCAGGGTACCTGGGTGGCTCAGTCAGTTCAGTGGCTGACTCTTGGTTTTGGCTCAGGTCATGATCTCACTGTTCATGAATTCGAGCCCTGTGTCAGGCTCTGTGCTGACAGTGTGCAGCCTGTTTGGGATTCTCTCTCTCCCTCTCTCTCTCTGCTCCTTCCCTGTTCATGTTCTTTCTCTCAAAATAAATAAACTTAAAAAAAAAATTATCTAGGACCAGAAGGTACTCAACTTTTTAGGCCCTTCCCCTTACTAATTGGGGAAGGAAACTTTTTCTCTAAAAGTCTTGACTTCTCAGAGAGTAAACAAAATGTTTCAGAGTAGCAGGCTTACCAGTTTCCCCACTGGGTTTCATGTTAGTATTAGTAATCCTAATTCAAATCAGGAAACTCAAGAGTTAAAAATGTAGAGGTCACAATTAACAAGCAGAGAATCTATTCTAATGTTCAGCTTGTGCATAACGAATCACAATGAAAATACTCTAACAGCAGTTACAACTCATCTACATGTATGGCTGTCTCCTTCCTTCTCTTTCTAAGAATCTGACACTGACTTATTCTTCAAACTGGAGAAAGAAGTAATAAAAAAGCATATAATTTATGATGTTGAGGTAAGAATAATATATACTGTGGAGTTTTACTGGGGTGCCTGGGTGGCTCAGTTGGTTGAGCATCCAACTTCGGCTCAGGTCATGACCTCATGGTTCGTGGATTTGAGCCCCGCGTCAGACTCTGTGCTGACAGTTCAGAGCCTGGAGCCTGCTTTAGATTCTGTGTCTCCCTCTCTCTCTGCCCCTTCTCTGCTCATGCTCTGTCTCTCTATAATAAAACATTTTTTAAAAACTTAAAAAAATAAAAAAACATTTATTCATTTATTTTGGGAGAGAGGGAGGGAGGGAGAGAGAAGCGTGAGTGGGGGAGGGGCAGAGAGCGAGGGAGAGAGAAAATCCCAAGTAGGCTCCATGCTGTCAGTGTGGAGTCCGACCCCGGGCTTGATCTCACAACAGTGACATCATGACTTGAGACGAAATAAATCAAGAGTCAGGTGCTTAACCAACTGAGCAACCCAGGCGCCCCAGGAGTTTTTAAAATGTAAAATAATTTGAAAATTCCTATTTATAATTTTCTAAATCTACTAATGTCAGACTTCTGGTGTAGAATCTTTTACAAATAGTACTAAACAGTATCAACTTCTATAGAGTAGGAATGCAAGGCATATTCATATGTAACTATTGATGCTCTCAACCACTACTGATGATGGCAACCTGACCAAAACCAAAACCAAAACCAAAAAAGCACACACACAGACCCCCACCCCCACCTCAAAAACCTAGAAATTTCAAACTTTCAGAAAGGATACTGGCCAAAGTATTCATTTTGCTCTGAATTGACTTCAACATTCCTCTCTGTGAAGTCATATTTTCTTTTGTTGCCATAGCAATGCTGAAGGGGGAAAAGAGAAGATAATTACGTCGGCATTTAAGATTATCCTGCGCAGATCCATCATATTCTTAAAAGTGAAGAGAAAACTAAGATGGGCAACATCATCTTGAAAAGCACAGGCAGGAAAAAAAATCATTTCCCAAGTCACCTTCCCACTATCTTTTCCTGAATGTCCACTCCATCCCTACTGCTATCTTCTGATGTCTTTCTGGACAGTAAGCCATTTCCTGTGATTTTTCCCAAAGTAACAAATGAAATAACAGAGAAATCCCTATTACAAAAGCTTCTTAAAATGGTTTTGAAAGGGGCCAGCTACTAAAAATATCTTTAATCAGGAAAACTGTTGAGAGAGAAGTAGGAAATTATAATCATAAAAAAAGAACCAAAAGTGTTAACACATCACAAAATACCCATATATAACCAGCCCTTAACTTATGAAAAGATTATGTTCCAGAATTCCACTTGAGAACCATCTAGGCAGATTTTAGGAGACACATGCAACATTATGCTGGGTTTCCAAGCCAGGTGACAAAGGTTATGCATTCATTAAATGACTCAAAGAGATGGGGGAACGTCCCTTCTCTTACAGACTATACTATAGTCTCTTCCATGTGACTATTCTGATGTCCTGTTTAAAAGAATCTCAATATCTTTTTGCTTTCATGCCAGGATTAACTTCAACAGTCTTATCTCCCTGGGCATTAGAATCCTAGAGGATAGGTCAGTACCCATTTTTATATATAACACACAGGAGAGAGCTATAGATACTGATAACATAAAAAACAATAGGAAACAGAATGTCCTTGAATAATTCTGAAAACATATCAAACGTTGAAAAAAAAAAAAAGCAACAGAGATGAAGAGATTCTGGGAAGATGATGATCAGAGCACAAATTCCTGACCCTATCGCTGGTCCAACTTCCTCCATGGAGGAACACATGAACAAAGGCAGATATGATGGGGAGGGGTCCATCTGAGATCCCTCATTCTTTTGAAATATCCAAGGAAGAAAGCCAGGTAGGCTATACTCTCTCAAGCAAGGGAAGAACCAAGGAACTGATGGCAGGGAAGACGAGATTTTTCTTCAAGCCTGGGGCAAAGCCCTAGGTTTCAATTCACCCTAAGGAACCCAACAATGGAAGATATGGACGTGCGTGTACAGGAGCTACAGTGATGCACTGAACTGTAGCTGGTAAAGGGTGGTACACACAACCACAGAAACCTATGAGCCAGGAGCTGACAGTCCATCAGATGGTGTGATGCCCAGCCCTGAAGAAGAAAAAACTGCTGGGGCACCCACTACCACCTAGTATGCCACTGCTTAGGGGTCTAATAGCCTGACCTATCTGGGAGCTGACTGAACACACTCTTGAACAGCCAAGACCAGGTATCCTATTGGAGGAAAATGCTAGGAGTACTCTAAGCAAATGACATATCAAAACTGAAATTTCAAGATTTGAGAAGGCAAAGAAGAAACAGTGTGGGGAGACAGATCAAAGGATATATATTAGAGTGCTGTTTGGAATAGTAAGAGACAAGCAAACAAAAACACCCCCCAATGGAAACAACATTGGAATGGTTTAACAGATTATGATACAACGAAACTATGAAATAATATTTGGTTATTAAAAAGAATAAGTTGGCATTATTTCTATTAAACTGGAGGAATGTTTATGATACACTGAATAATTAATGAAGCCACAGAACGTGTAAAGTATGAATCCTTTTTTATTTTAAGCAATAAAACATCATTGTATATGTTTGTATGACAATGAGAATGTATTTAGAAAGATACACAACTGTCAGTGAATACAAGTTACTTAGGGGATAGGAATGGAGGGACACTACCAGATGAACTTTTTTTTTACATTTTAGAATGATTTACATTGCTAAAATAAGAACACTGTACTTTTCTAAACTATACATATCTCACAAAGAAAATTACAGGAATTCCACCTGAGTGATGAAGAAACGTGAATAACATTATCAGCGCCAAATCTACTGTAGTTATTTGCCTCAGTACCACTAGGAGTTAAGCATGATTTATAAAAGTTTTTCCCAGATCCTAGAAAAGATCAAGATTTAAAGGGATCAGGTATCTCTGAAGGCAAAACTGTGAAATAGGGCTAAAAATGGAAATTTGTGCAAAGAATTGCCAGACCCCTAAATTATCTTCCCTGAACAACACAGTCAGGTGACTGCCCCCAGTTCAGTAGAAGATCTAACCTAGAAAAAGAGACCTTAAAGATCCTGACATTTTGAAGTTCCCCACAAAACCACCAGGTCCCTTTCTGATCATTCATTGTAAGGCCTACTACTTGGCAAGTCCCACCACCCATGTACAGAGAACTAGCTTCCAATTACTGGATTTTCTGGAGCCTCACCCTTAAATATGAACAAAGAATCAAGAATCACTACAAGTTTGAGAAAAGCCTCTAACAGAGATCCAAATAAAAACTAGCAAACAGAAAAGTGAGTCTGAGGAAACAGAGGCAATAACAGAAGTTCAAGAAACTCTAAAACTGAATTATATTTAATGTCTTCAGAGAGAGAAAGAAGGTATCACACCCATGAAAGACATAAATGTATGTGTGTGTGTGTATGTGTACGTGTGTGTAAGAGTGTACCCACCACTGAGAAAAGAGCCGGTATAAATTTAAAAAAAGAATGGAAATAAAAGTGTAACAGAAATCTCGAAAGGACAAACTGAGTAAACCCCTCAGAAAGTAGAAAAAAAGATAAGTGGAAAACGGAGAAAGGGTAAAAAAAGGAACAGAAAGCCCAACATGTTACATTTTAAAATTAAAACCAAAAAAAAAACCAAACAAACAGAAAACAAAAACAGTGAAGAAGGAGGTGGGAAAATGAGAGTTTAAGAAAATGTCTCAGAACTGAAGAGGAGTTTCCAGACTGTAGGAACTCATCCAATGGCCAGTACAACGAACTGGAAAAGATGCACGATAAGGTTAAAAAACACCAAAAGCATAGGGAAAAAGGGATAATCCTAAAAGCTTCCAGAGGAAAAAGGCTCATCACATACAAAGGAACAGAAATCTTAACTGGCAGTGAACTTAAAAACAATACTGGAAACAATGTCATCAAAAATTTCAAAATTATTCCTAACTTAGCTAAACAATGAATCAAGAATAGATGTGAAAAGTCCAAAAGTTGTACCTCCTGTTCTTTCTCAGGAAACCACTGAAGAACGTGGTCCAGCATAATGAGGGAATAAACTAAGAGTTTATGGAAGACACCAAATCCAAGAAATAAGTGATCCAATAAAGGAGGTCACTGAGGTGTCTGGGTGGCTCAGTCCGTTAAGCATCCGACTCTTGATTTTGGCTCAGGTCATGATCTCATGGTTGGTGGGTTTAAGCCGCCAAGTCGGGCTCTGCACTGACAGTGTGGAGCCTGCTTGGGATTCTCTCTCTTTCCCGCTCTCTCTCATAAATAAATAAACATTAAAGAAAAAATGGAGGTCATTTTAAGGTAATGGGGATAGAGCATCGCAGGACCAGTGCAGGATGGCAGGTCTAGAGAACAACCAGTCAAGATTAAAATAGAAGGAAGCAGACAATGTTAACTTTACACTGAATTTTAGATCCAAAGAACGAAAAGAACACAAGAAGAGTCCAAAATAACAACGTCCTTTGCATCATTAGCTTTTTTTTCTAAGTTTATTTATTTGTTTTGAGAGGAAAAGAAAGCACTAGTCAGGGAGGTGCAAAGAGAGGGAGAGAGAGAGAATCCTAAACAGGTATGTGCTGTCAGTGCAGAGCCCGATGTGGTGCTTGAGCCCATGGACCATGAGATAATGACTTTAGCCCAAGGCAGATGCTTAACTAACTGAGCCATCCATGTGCCCCTGCATCATTAGTTCTTATTCATAATTTTTCCCTTAAGTGTATGTCTATGATAGAATATAAGGTATTTAAAATGAGGCTTTAAAAATTATTTATTTATTTTAATGTTTATTTATTTTGAGAGAGGGAGGGAGGGGCAAAGAGACAGGGGGAGAGAGAATCCCAAGGAGGCTCTGTGCTGTTAGTGTAGAGCTGGATACAGGGCTCAATTTCATGAACCACGAATCTGAGCCAAAATCAAGAGTCAGACACTTAACCAACTGAGCCACCCAGGTGCCCCTGTTTTATTTTTTCTATATTTTGTTTTAGAGAGAGAGACAGAGAGCATGCATGCCAGCGAGGGAGAGGGGCAGAGGGAGAGAGAGGGAGAATCTTAAGCAGGCTCCACACTCAGCACAGAACCCAGCATGGGGCTTGACCCCATGACCCTTGGGATCAGGACCTGAGTCAAAATCAAGGGTCGGATGCTCAACCAACTGAGCCACCCAGGTGCCCCTAAAATGTGATTGTTTTAATATAAATTTATAAAGTATTTTAAAACAGGTATTATGGTCTTATATAAAGTAACACAATTTCATTTAAAGCTAGGCTGAGCATCTGAAAGCAATCTTTGAATCATATATGCCTGTTTTTTTTACACTGGGACTATCACTATCTCCCATGCACTCTGACTCAGAAGTAGATAAAGAAGATTAAAAAATAATTTCCACAAAGCACTTTGTATTCCTTGGAGAATGGATATTATCATCATACATTATGTTATTATCTTGGTGAATATGCATGATTGCCAGTACCACACAAAGTATATCTAGACATACTTTCCCATCTCACTGCATCATCTGGAGTCAAGCTGAGTGAAATCTAGACTGTTGTTATTTCAAGGGTCAAATACTCAGAGGCAAAACAAGCTCCAAATAATATATAATGCTTTTAAAATGATAAATCATTGATGTGCTTACTGGAACTTTCTTACCTGTTGTGTGAACTAAACTCAGACACTTATTTTTTCAACAACAGACAATATCAGTTATACATTTAAAGCTTAAGAATAAGTTAATATTAAAAATATCAGTTCTTTTCAATTAAGTGATGCCAGAGTCTATATTCAGTTGTGTACATATTCTTAAAATCTATTTTTATCTCCAAGAGTAAAAAGTAAATTGTTACATATAGAATATGCAAAAACAATTATCTGACACTTAAATTTTATATTACCTATAAGTAATCATAACTAGCTTTAGAATCAATAAAATTTTACTTGTGATATCTACCAGATTTTGAAATAAAGGGAAATAGTGAAATAAAAGACCTTATGATTATATTATTTTGCTTTTACCTAGCAAAATAACAGTAGCAGTGATTCAATGGTTCTCAAATGTTCCTATACTAGGAAGTACTCCAAATTTTTTATACTCATATTACCAGCCCTTAAATAGGCCAGCTTTGAATTGAAAAGCTTAATTAAGACAGCCTGGCCCAAAGAAGATCAGGCAGAAAGAGGAGGGGAAAAAAGGAAGAAAAAAGGAAAAGGATTATAGAGAAAGTTTAAGTAAAAAGTCCTTAGCAAATGCTATCTTACTTTATGTGCTGTTGAAAGGGAAGGAGTCACAAGGAAAATATTTCAGTTGACAATTAGGCAATTTTGCAAAACCTTTGCCCAGATGGACAACCCAATGCATGCAATTTAAACAAAATCCCCAGATATGATAACTACACATTATTATAAGAGATTATAATTTATTAAATAATGATAGAAACATTATAATCTACCAAATAAAATAAGAATCCATGAGCCTGTATCAATATAAATGCATACTTAAAATGTGAACAATGAAATATTTAGTGGTAGAGAGGCATCATGTCTGCAATTTATTTTCAGGTAGTTCAAAAAACGAAAAGTGAAAAAGCAAATGTGGCAAACTGTTAACGTGTGGGGAATCCAGGTGAAGCGTATATGGGAATTCTTTGTACTACTGGAATTTTCCTGAAATCTGAAATATCATGACCTGAGCCAAAATCAAGGGTGGGATGCTCAACCGACTGAGCCACCCAGGCGTTCCTGACAAAGCTACCACTGACAGATTACCTAGTATCATTCACACATTGTATTAGGCATTTTACTCATTATCTTTCATCTTCACAACAATTTTTTAGGGAGGTATGATCATCAATCCCGGTTTTTGAACACATAAGAAAATGAAGACTCCAAGTAACTTAACCAAGAACAGATATCTAATAAGTAGCACAAACCAAATCACACTCTGAAGCTTGTACACTTTCTACAAGGTGGGAAATACAGTAGTAGCTTAGATAGAGCTCTGGTCCTAGAATTATAGAGATTCAGGTTTGAGCATTTGAATCCTGAACACAATTTATCAATCATGTCACCACAAGCAAATTACTTACCTTAATTTCTTTTTTGTTTTGGACAGTGTTTATTTCATGGGTCATTAAAGAAATTAAATAAAATAAAGCATGTAAAGCATTTGAGACAATACCAAGGCCTACAGTAAGAGTACATGTTTGTTGTTGTTTCCATGTACTTCATCACACCTTTCCCAAAAAATGCTTTAGACATTGCTGAATTCTAACTGTAGCTAGTTCATTTACTTTTTTACCTTCATAAGATAGTATCTAAAAATTCACCAAACCTAGAGAATTAAGTAGTTCAAACCAACATAATTGTCCCTTACCTTAAGCAATAAACTACTTCAGTGTTATTACAGATAATACTAAATATTACTGCAGCACATTTTCCACAGCTGCTGTGACTGAAACCCAATCTACATAAATGGTATATACACCAAATCACATGTCTAAGATGGTTTTCCTTTAAAAAAAAAAAAAAAAGAATAAAAAGACTGAAGCTGAAAGTACTGAGTATGAATTAAACAGAAAAATTAACCTTGGTAAGTCAGCTTAATTCCACTAATTCTTGAAACAAATATTTTGTGCTTCAAATGTCTCTTATAAGTGAAAGACACAGTAAAAATTCATCACAATCTAGTGAAATTCCCATCTCTAAGGATGACAAGTGAACTTTATCCCTAGTTACAGGGTTAACCTGATCTGTTCACTTATGTTGCAAACAAACAAAAAACAATAGAGTAAAACAAATTTTTTTTCCTACCTTATTGTCTCTTCTATCAGACGATCTGAGCTGCAAATAAAATGGAAATTAAAATTCTGGAATTATTAAAGCACTTTAAAACTTGTACTTAATTTTTCTACACTTTAGAGAATAATTTTTCAGACATTTATACAAACAGAATACCCAGACTTTTGAAAGCATCTGGAGTATATTCTGGTCCCCGAAATAAATTTAATTTATCCACATATATAATTTTCATCTTACTTTTATTAGCTTAAATCTATTTCTTTCACAGAGATACTTGATGACTAAAGACAGAACAGGGTTTTTTTAAAAAATGTTTATTTATTTTTGAGAGAGAGAGAGAGAGACAGACAGACAGAGTGCAAGCGGGGCAGGGACTGAGAGAGGGAGACAGAGAATCCAAAGCAGGCTTCAGGCTCTGACCTGTCAGCACAGAGCCCAATGCGGGGCTCAAACCCACAAACCATGAGATCATGACCTGAGCCGAAGTCAGATGCTTAGCCGACTGAACTGCCCAGGCACCTAAGACAGAACAGTTTTTTTTTTTTTTTTTAAGACAGAACAGTTTTAATGACCGCATAAAGACATGAAACTTCTTTAATCTAGATAGCTCAAACTTGTCACCACCATCTATTCAAAACTTAAGAATCACAACCAACTTGTTGAGGCAGGATAAGGAAATATAGTTCTGATGCCTACAAGAAGTAATTATTTACACCTTAAAGTTCCTTCCATTTTGGGGAAATAGTTTTTTGTTTTGGAAACAAAACCAAATTTCAGCTTACAAAATTTACAATTCAAGAATCTGAATAAAGATACTAAATGCACCTTTGATCTGTACAATGTTTGCCTTTATGCATCAGACCTTGGAAACAAACAACTCTATTTTAGGGAGGAATTTGTAGGTATTTAAACTGGTATAAAGGTGCTGCTTTACAGCAGAAAGTGGGAAAACTAACTCCTAAACATCTGCATCTGCGCAGCACATGCAAGGTGCACAGTAGGTTCTCAACTCAATATTTGCATATTTTCTTCAAACTGCTTCTATACAAAAGAATTTCTAGGTTCACTGTATAAAATAACTTGAGGTTTCATAATAGGAAACGTAAGTTACTGCATGAACTAGGTGACAAAGATGAGCTTTAAAAATACCATAAAAGGGGCACCTGGGTGGCTCAGTCAGTTAAGCATCCAACTCTTGGTTTTGGCTCAGGTCATGATCTCACAGTTCGCGAGACTAAGCACTGTGTCAGGCTCTGTGCTCACAATATGGAGCCTGTTTGGTATTCTCTCTCTCTCTTTTTCCCTGTCTCTTCCCTGTTCACACTCTCTCTCTCAAAATAAGTAAATAAACTTTAAAATAATAATAATAATAACAATAATAATAATAAAAGGATCATACATGATGATTAAGTGGGATTTATTCCAGGGATGCAAAGATGGTTCAACATTTACAATCAGTCAATGGAATACACCACCCTAACAAAATGAAGGATGAAAATCACATAATCATCGCAACAGATGCAGAAAAAGCATCTGATAAAAGTCAACATCCATTTATGATAAAAACTCTCAACAAAGCATGTACAGAGGAAATGTACCACAACATAATAAATGTTATGTACATGGCAAGCCCACAACTAGTATAATTTATGATGAAAAGCTACAAGCTTTTCCTCTAAGATCAGAAACAAGGATGCCGACTCTTGCCACTTTTATTCAATAGTTTTAGAAGTCCTAACCAGAGCAATTGGGCAAGAAAAAGAAATAAAAGGTATCCAAATCTGAATATTATACATAGAAATATATATATCTATAATTATATCTATATTACATATAGAAAACCCTAAAGACTCCATCAAAAAACTTTAGAATGAATTCAGAAAGCTGCAGAATATAAAACTCATAACTCAAAAATTGGTTGTTTCTATACACTAATAATGAACTATCAGAGAAATTAAGAAAACAATCCCATTTATAATTGCATAAAAAAGAATAAAGTACCTAGGAATATATTTTACCAAGGAGGTGACTTATATATTGAAAATGACAAGACATTAATAAAAAACACTGAAGAAGACACAAATAAATGGAAAGATATTCCATGCTCATGGATTGGAAGAATTAATACTATTACAATGTCCATACTGTCCAAAGCAATATGTAGATTCAATATAATTCCTATCAAAATTCCAGTGGCATTTTTTTTTTTTTACAGAAATGAAACAAACAATCCTAAGATGTATAAGGAATCATAAAGGACTCTGAATAACCAAAACAATCCTGAGAAAGAAGAACTAAGTTGGAAGTACCATGCTCCCTGATTCCAAACTATATTACAAAGCTATAGAAATTAAAATAGTATGGTACTACCATAAAAAGACATAGATCAATAGAAAAGAAAGCCCAGAAATAAACCCATGCATAGATAGTTAATTTATGATAAAGGAGCCAAGAATATACAATAGGGAAAGGGCAGTTTCTTTAATAATATATATACATTATTATATATATATTATATATACATACACACACACACACACACACACTCACAATGGAATACTACTCATCTGCAAAAAAAGAATGAAATCCTGCCATTTGCAACAACACTGATGGAGCTAGACAGAGTATTATGTTGAGTGAAATAAGTCAGTTAGAGAAAGACAAATACCAAATGACTTCACTTATATGTGGAATTTATGAAACAAATGAGTAAAGGGGAAAAAAAGAGAGAGGCAAACCAAGAAACAGACTCTTAACTATAGAAAACAGACTGATGGTTACCAGAAGAAGATGGGTAGGAGGTCAGGTTAAATAGGCGATGGGGAGCATTGGGTGTTGTATCGAAGTGCTGGATCACTATATTGTAATACTTGAAACTAATATTACACTGTATGTTAACTAACTGGAATTTAAACAAAAACTTTAAAAAATTATTCAAAAATCAATCAATGTAACTCACCATATATGAACAGGCTAAAAAGCATTTGACAAAATATAACACCTATTCATGAGGAAAATTCTCGGAAAAATAAGAATAGAGGGATATTTCCTCAACTTGATAGAGTATCTACAAAAACTTATAGCTAGCATTATACTTAACAGTGAAAGACTGAACATTTCTCCCTAAGACCTGGGACAGGGCAAGGAAGCCCATTCTCACCACTCTTATTCAAAAATAGTGCTGGAAGTTCTAGGCATGCAATAAAGCAAGAAAAGGAAATAAAAGACATACAATTGGAAAGGAAGAAATAAAATTATCTTTATTTGCAGATGACAAGACTGCCTACACAGAAAATCCCAAATAAACTATATAAAAACTCCTAGGGGCGTCTGGGTGGCTCAGTCGGTTAAGTGTCCAACTTCGGCTCAAGTCATGATCTCGCAGTTCACGAGTGCAAGCCTCGCGTTGAGCTCTGTGCTGACAGCTCAGAGCCTGGAGTCTGCTTCGGGTTTTGTGTCTCCCTTTCTCTGCCCCTCTCCCACCCACACTCTGTCTCTCTCTCACTCTCTCTCTCTCTCTCTCAAAAATAAACATTAAAAATTTTTTAAATAAAAAAATAAAAACTAGAGTAAGTCAGTTCAGCAAAGTTGCATTACAAACATGCAAAAATCAACTGTATTTCTATGTACTACGAAAAAACATGTGGACCCCAAACCTAAAAAGACAATGCCATTTATAACTGTTCAAAGAAGAAAAACATAGATGTAAATCTAACAAAACCTGTATAGGACTTGTATAGGACAATTACAAAATGCTGATGAAAGTAATCAAAGAAGATCTAAATAAATGGAGAGACACATCACATTCAGGGATTGGAAGACTCAACAAAGTAAAGATGCCAATTCTCAAACTGATTTACAAATTTAACACAATTCCTAGATATAGATAAGATCACTGCAAAATATATAAGAAAGCCAAAAGAATTAGAATAACTAAAGCGATTCTGAAAAAAGAATAAATGAAAGTCAGTTTACCCAATTTCAAGACTTATTACATATCTACAGTAATCAAGACTGGGTGGAAAAAAGACTGTGTTACTGGTCGAGGGACAGACACAGAGATCAGTGGAACAGAAAAGTGCCCAGAAATAGTCCCACACAGATATGTCCAACTGATTGTTTTTTCTCATTTAGATCTCATAAGTAGCACTTGAGGTGGATATCTAAGAGCTGAGTTTTTAAAATACTGAAATGAAATCATGTAACATAAAATTAACCATTATAAAGTGTACAATTTAGTGGCATTTAGTACATTCACACTGTTGTGCAAGTAACTGACACCACCAAATACAGGTGAGGATACGGAGAAACTAGATCATTCACACATTAGCAGGAATGTAAAATGGTAGCCACTCTAGAAAATAATTTTAAAACTAGTTAAAAAGTAAACACGCAACTACCATACAACCCAGCAATTGCACTCCTGGGCATTTATCCCCGAGGAAAAAAAAATATGTTCACACAAAAACTTGTACGTGAATGTTCACAGAAACTTTTGTGTGTTAACAGCCAAAAGCTGGAAACAACCCAGAAATCTTTCAATGGGTGAATGGTTAAACAAACTGTGGTACATCCATAGTATGGAATACTACTCAGCAATAAAACAAAACAAAACAAAAAACCAAACAAAACAACAACAAAAAAGGTGCTAGTGATACATGCAACAAGCTGCTCGAAACTCCAGAGAATCATCCTGAGTGAAAAAGTCAATCTGAAATGGTTATATACCATATGATTCCAGGTATAAGCAACATTCTTGAAATGACAAAATTACAGAAATGGAAAACAGATGAGTGGTTGTTGCCAAGGGTTAATGGGGAAGGGAGAGGCAGGAGGGAAATAGCTTTTAAAAGGGAGAATAGGGGGGCACCTGGGAGACTCAGTCGGTTAAACGTCTGACTCTTGATTTTGGTTCAGGTCATGATCTCACAGGTTTGTGAGTTGGAGCCCAGCATCAGGCTCTGTGCTGACAGTGTGAAGCCTGCTTAGGATTCTCTCTCTCTTTCTCTCTCTCTGCCCCTCCCCAGCTCTCTTTCTCTCTC